TCTTCACGTGTTCATATGACATCTAAACAATTTAACATGAAATACACATGCAAAGCACATTTGGTTAGATGACAAGAAAAATACAAAACAAATAACGTCTATAAGGTAATATTAGTGAAGATAAGATTAACTACATGATTGAACATCATCAAATTGAAATAAAGATATACATTATTGCATTTAACTAATAAAATTCTTTACTGACCATCTTCATAGGTTTACGCGAATAAGAGATATATATATATGACAATCTATATTGAAAATTCACAAAAGAATCTGCAATATTATTTTTTGCTAAGTTTATTATTCAAATCTTCGCTTAGATAAGCAATACTATTTACTATAACATATCTTTTTTGAAATTGGTAATCACGTGCAACACACGTGTCAAAAAACTAGTATATATATATATTCTTTTTAATATTTTATTAATTTTAAGTCAAAAGTTTTTAAATATAACAACTTGATCCATCTTCCACTATAATTATTAGGAATAGTATGTATTTTATGTTAAAATATTCATTTATAACATCAACCTCTTTTTCATACCCTAATATTTAATTTGTGAATTTATGACACCTAACAAAAGAAATTATATATTTTTTAGGATCTCAAATGTTATGAAGATAAATAAAATAGATTAGTCATAACATCTACGAATTTATTTAGTCTTAAAAAAATAACTTGCAAGAAACATGTGAATATAAGAAGAAAAATAAGAAACGTGAAGAGATGTATGTGTTATTCATAATTCATAAAGTGAAGATAATTCTAATGGTGAATAACAATGACTCATATATTAAAAAAAAAATTATACATAGATTCAAAATTTCAATTTGAATCGTCAAGTAACTCTGTTTCCTTTATTTTAATCAAATGTGATAGAATGGTGTTGATTTAGGGTTCTTACGTAATTGTTGAATTGGAAAGTTTCTCATCTTGTATTTTAGCTTCAAAATTGAAAACATCTCTTACGATCATAATCGAAAACAACTTTTGATATATTGGGAGCTTTTGCCCTAAGTTTGTAAATCAAAAGTTGATAACTAATTAAGGTAATTTCGATCTGATTAACTTAATATTGTAAAATTAAATTTAGATATTACTTTTATTAATAAGTTAAAATATATAAAAAAAATACTACAATTTTTTCTTGTTAATATAATAAAAAATTAAAATATTAATTAAGTTTCACATAACTCAAATTTTGAAAACAAAAAATATTATATACATATAAATATAGATGCTTATGGATGCTTTTCATTTTTGTGTTTCATGAAAACAATGCCAAATAATTACATAAGCCAGCAAAAAAAGGTGAAAAGCAAGCTGAACAAAAAAGACAAAATAATAATAATAAAGTAATTATTATTATTTTAACCCAAACATAAAGGACCAAAGAAAAAAGTAATTGAAAAATAGGCACATAATAATTTTTTTTGTATTAAACTTATTACTACTAAAGATATGAATATAAATGAATAATGAGTAATGGCAAATGAATAGGACTAAATATAAGGTATAAAATTTGAATATCCAAAATATCAAACTCAATATCCAATTTGAAATCCATTTTTTTTTTAAAAAATTAAATCCAAATCCATTAATCTAAACAAAAAAAATCCAATAAATAAATAAATTAGATTTTAGGTCTGACCAATCTATGCCACCCTATATCATTTACTAAAAAAAAGAATAATTATAGATATATAAAATAATAAGCATGGGTTCTTGTGCTTCTAGAATCTATAAATAAATTAAATTAAGTGGACTCCATAAAAGCAAGAAATATTGACGGCTGCCTTTAATTAACAGAACAACAAAAATATTCATTTTCCACCTCTTCAAATAGTATTCACTCCGTTTATTTTTAATTGTCATGATTTCCTTTCTAGAGTCAAATGAATAGAACTTTGACAAATATTTTACGATGTATTTTTCATCATATTGATATGCAAAAGAATTGCAATTTATAATACTTTTCGTATAGTTTTTAAATATCTAATTTTTTTATTTAAAATATCAAATTAATGTAATCTAATTTCACTTTGAAAATTAGTCAAATTGACTTTCGAAAAACGCAACATAACAATTAAAAGTGAAGTATATTTTATTCCAAAAAAAAAAGGAATAAGTTTGTTTTGTACTCAACATCCAATTTAAATTGTGTTTAAAAATTAATTTATGTTTCATGAAAATACACCAAATGACTAAAAAGATCAATATTTTTTTGCACACCATGCAAGTTTTAAATTTAGCCAACACCTTCTTTGGATTGTTGTTATGCGTTGTATTATATTGCTAGTTTAAATATTATGTTTGTATTGATTTTTAATTGTTATTTAAATTTTATTTTATTTTATTGTTTAAATTCATCGTTTAATAATGATGAAAAGTTTTATTTGGTGTGATCATATTGTTATCTTAATATTTTTTTTATATTTAATAATCCTACTTTATTCTTTATCGTACCTTATACCTTACTTTTTTTTTATAGATTTATCGTTCAAATTGTTGATATATAACAAACTATTCAATTGAACTTACGTATCGATTTCAAATATGAAACACGTTTTTTTCAATATGTTACTGTGATGAAGATATACTTTAGGTAGTAATTAATAATTATATACAATGAACTTGCTAAAAGAAAATTCCACACTGGTAATTAATAATATTACTTTACTACTATTTAAAAGAGGCTATAAGCAAGCAGGTTTACGTCAACATATTTTCTTCTATGCCAAGAATATTTTAATATATTTTTATGTTTTGTTTTAAAGATTTTTGTATTTTATATATATATATATATATATATATATA